TTTTCCATCTCAAAGTTCTCGTCAACTTTTCTTCTTCTTCTTCTTTTTCTTTATTATTATTAGTATTACTACTACTACTACTAGTATTATTATTATTAGTATTGTTATTGCTACTATTATTATTGTTGTTGTTATTGTTACTATTGTTGTTGTTTATAATTGTTGTTTATAATTTGTATAATTAACCTCCCTGTGGTTCGACCCCGGTCTTGCTGGGTTATTTATTACTTCAACACTCCTGCACTTGGGAGAAGACAACAATCTTGTGGTCATGTCAGAGAGCCTCTTTCTTTTTTTCATTTTTATTTTCTTTTCTTTTTTTCTCTCTCCTTTCTCTTCTATCCTTTACCCTCTTTCTTCTCTTCTGTTTTTTATTTTTCTGGTCTTCCCCTCTTTTCTCTCTATTTTTTGTCTGTTTAAAAATTTGGGCTTGGAAAACACTTTCCGGAAGTTGTAAAAAATTTAAAAATATTATTATTTGCTGATTATATAAAATTTGATCCTTAAACTTTTGATTGCTATATATATTTTGTTTTAAATATTTATTTTTCAATTTCATCTCTTAAAATTTAATTTTTATATTAACTTTGGTCCTTATTTTTATAATTGTTATTTGCTTTTTTCCTTATCATTTTTTTATTGAATTCTTTATCTATCAAATTTGGTCCTCATTCTTTTGATTGTTACTTATTTTATTTGAAATAATTTATGAAATGTTGATTATTATTATTTTAATTTCTTCATCTATTATTTTTAAAATTTTTTAAATTTGATCTTTATTATTTTGATTATTATTTATTTTATTGGAGATAATTTATGAAATTATATTTTTTTTTCAATTTCATTCTCATTCAACTATTTAAGTTGTAAGATTTGTTTCTTACTATTTTAATAAACTTGAGAAAAATAAAATATTAATAAGTTATTTTTCAACTTATTTTTCATAACATAACCAAACACTGAAAACTATTATTCAACTTATTTTCCATTACACTGTCAAATATCAGAAAGTAATTCACTTTTTTAGAATTCACTTTAAAAAAAAAAAACTACTTTTCAGCAAACAAACAAAGCCCAAAATTAGTTAAAAATACAAAATCAAACTGAAAAACCTCCCAACCTTGATTCATTTTATCAAGCAAGATAAGGAGGAAAAACATATCAATGGAACTTCCATCGTCAAATGAAATTCATTGACATCAAGAACAATATTTTTTATGGCATGAATGTGGCAAACCAATGAGTTTCTCTCACGTTCGTTATTTTTTGATGATTTTCTTTATTTTTAAAAAATTAAAGGACTACAATATGAATAAAAAAACTTTAAAACCAAAATAAAAATTATGAAACTTCAAGATTAATCATATATTTTCTATTTGTTTTACAAATTAAAATTTTATCTCATGAAATTAGATTAAATCCCAAAACAAGAAAATTTTGAATAATGAAGCACCTCTTTTATACCTTGTTTTTGTTAATTAAAAATAAAATAAAACCATAGCATGCTTCAAGAACAATATCAAAGAAAAAGTCTATAAAAATAGTATTATTCCTCTTAACAAACCGACATTACAAACCGAAATACAAAAGAAAATATAGTAATTTCAAGTACAATATCATAAAATGGTCCCATTTCCTCTAAAAGCCCTCCTGCAAAGTTGAAAAATAAATAAATAAATCTGCCACTGAAAAAAAGTGACTATAAAAAAGTAGTCCTGTTACTCTGTAATGAAACCGAAATGCAAACCGACATTACAAACCGAAATACAAAAGGAAATATAGTAATTTCAAGGATAATATCGTAAAATAGACCCATTTCCTCTAAACCCTCCTTCAAAGCTGAAAACTTAAAAAAAATAAAAAATAAAAAATCTGCCGCTCTCTTCTTTCCTGTCGAACGAACCTAACAAAACCTCCCTCTAAAAGAGTCCTATAGCCGATATGGGAACACCTGAAACTTCTCGTGAGCCGTGTCCAGATCGTATTATCGATGATATCGGCGGCGCTTTCGGCATGGGAGCCGTCGGTGGCTCAGCTTTCCACTTCATCAAAGGCCTCTACAACTCTCCAACAGGCACGCGGCTTATCGGCGGAACTCAAGCAGTTCGCATGAACGCTCCGCGTGTTGGCGGTAGCTTTGCCGTCTGGGGCGGCCTCTTCTCTGCCTTCGACTGCTCAATGGTTTACCTCCGCCAGAAGGAAGATCCATGGAACTCGATCATCGCTGGCGCCGCCACCGGTGGCTTCCTCTCCATGCGGCAAGGGCTTGGCGCGTCGGGTCGGTCTGCTCTTTTTGGTGGCGTGTTACTGGCTTTGATTGAAGGAGCTGGAATTATGCTCAATAAGGTAATGAGTGCTCAACAGGAGATGCCTATTATGATTGAAGATCCTGTTCCTTCTATGGCTGGTGGGCATGGTTCTCCTATGGGCCAGCCCCACGCCCATGCCCAAGAGGGTGCATCTGCAAGTGAGACGAATTCGGGTTCGTGGTTCGGTGGGTGGTTCGGTGGAGGGAAGAAGGAATCAGAGGCTAATATAAGCGGAAGCAAGACTGAGATTTTAGAGAGCTTTGATGCACCACCAGTGCCAAATTTTGAGTACAAATGAAAAAATCGAAAAAGATGAGCTTGTTTAGGGTTTTATAAACTTGTTATTAGGAGGTAATGATTTTGGAGCTTGTGAAGGTACAAACTTGTTGAACTCGATCCTTGTCCTCTTTGAAATTTTATTTCTCTGCTTGAATTATGAAACAGAGCGGCAGCAATGTATAATAATTCACTGCCAATTTTGTATTTTTTTTTTTTTGGCTGAGGTTAATGAATTTTTGCTTGGGTGACTAATTCTCAATGTTATTGGATGGGAAATGGTATCCCAATATCATGGAGACCAAGTTCTGGCTTGTTGAAACTCGGTTTGCAAATACAGTGTTTGTGGCTGTGCCTCCATCTCTCTATATTTTGTGTCAGCTTGTGTGTTTGCATTTGATGTTTTTATGTTTACTTTGGTAACTTCATTTTGTGCCTTTGCAATGCATGTTAAGGATCAGCCTTTTTCGCTAATTGGTAGGAATGCTTTGATTGGATTTAGTATATCTTTTCTGGCTTGGGGCTTCATTTATCCTCCTATGTTCTACTTTTAGTACTCTGTGGCTGGATTTCTTATCAATGTCTGAGAAATAGTTATTGCATATGATGATGAAATATTGAGTAGAAACAGGCATGGAGTTAGAAAACAAATTCTCCTTTTCCCTACCGTTGGAGATGTTCTATATTGATGAGATATTGTTGATGGCACTACTTTTTGGTGAGTGGGTGTTCTCTTGATCTGGCTGTAAACTGTTACTGTTGCTGAACATTTTAGTTTCTTCCTCTTCAGTCATAAAAACCTAGCGATTTACTGTCAGCAGTTAATAGACGTGTTTATTTGTTCTGTGCTTCTTGCAGGCGTTAGGGATTCAGCAACAGAATATATACCTAGAGATATAAATATGCTGAAGAATGATGGGCGTCACTTTAGCTAACTAGCTGTGCTGGTTTATTGACCACCGCAGTTGAAAATTGGACAGCTCCTTCACATATTAGACACTGCCTCTTACCTTGTTCATTAGACACTGCCTCTTACTTATCAAGTCCAAATTGTAGAAACAACAAAGAAGCCCGAATCTGTCTTCCAGCCCGAGCACTGTTCGGTATTTTGGCCATATCTGGAGTTCTAGAAGTCCAAATGAGCTGAATTTTTTACACAAGAAAGCTGAGACAATTGCCTACAACTTTCATGTTTGCACCTGGCTCCAGTTTTGACGTTATCAATGACGTTTTGGGCAGACAAGAGAAGATAAGGATTGTCACCAAGTCAAAAGTTGGTCACCCACTTATCAATTAGTCATCAAATCAATAGTTCCCAATTTTGGCCTATAAAAGGAGGCATTTGCCATGCATTTAGGCATCTTGGTGTTCAGATCAAGATCATGCTCTTCCTTTCTCTCTTTGTATTTTTTATGCTTTGTTTTCATTAATATTAAGTTTATGCCTTTCATTTCCTTTCCTTTACTTAGTTAACTTTTATGTTCTTATTTTGTTTATCTATTTTGCTTTCTTTCATTATGTCTAGCTAAGTTAATTATGTCAAGGTGAAAAGGTTACACTAATGGTGTGAGAATAAGTATAATGTAAACTTAATATGGACTTTAATGTTTGATACTAACATGTTTTATATTTGTTATCTTGTTTACTCTTTAATACTTTGCTTGTTAAATGATTAATCTTGATTTATGTTGTATAACACTTGGTACAACAAATGCTTGGCACTTTCATAGCCCATAATGTATGGTATAACCGACACCTGAGCTATGAAAGGAACTTGATTTGTTGTTAACATAAGTTATAATCATGAATGCTTGACGAGATTTACAAGTATTAGCATTAATTGAATAAGATGACTAATGTAATCATGTTAACAATATATAATCTGATTGGAACCTCCTTTGTGTGTGGTTTCCAATTCAATAATAAGAGTTTATACTATACTTGTTTGATATACCATTAGTGGAACCTCTAACCTTGACATTTGTTATTATTATTGTTTAATCCTTACATTAATTTTCCATCTCCAAGTTCTCATCATCTTCTTCTTCTTCTCTTTCTTTATTATTATTATTATTACTACTACTATTATTACTATTATTATTATTATTATTATTATTATTATTATTGTTATTGTTATTGTTATTGTTGTTGTATTATTGTTATTTATAATTTGTACAATTAACCTCCTTGTGGTTCGACCCCGGTCTTGCCGGGTTATTTTTTACTTCGACACTCCTGCACTTGGGAGAAGACATCAATCTTTTAGTCGTGTCATTCATCGACTCTGCCCCTTCTGTATTTTACGTATGTTTTAGTAGGTTCATATAATTAATTTTAAATTGTTTTAGCTTGTTCAGGTGAGATTCAAATATTTTAATTAATTTAATTTGGAGGGGTAGAATTTCAAATCAAAAATCAAAATTTTACAAGTGAATACAGAAACGAAGACAACATGATTGATTATGGAGTGTAATTGGAATATTAATATAATTGTTTTTGCATTAGTTATGGTTATGGCTTAGTTAGTGTTAGGGGTTGGTTTCGGTATTGTTTAGGGTTCAACTTAGGAGTAATTTGGGGTTTGGTAGATGTCGTTGTTTCTAATCACAATATCTTCCTAATCGACGTGATATCTACTAAACTCTATGATTTGGTTTTCTAAAGAAGTATACTAATAAGCAAAAATACCCTAAAACTACAAGGAACATCCTCGATTCACTTTATTCTTGAGTGCGAAAAATACATGAATTATCTAGCAATCAAATGGGAACAAGAACAAGGTCCACGACCTTCGGTCAAGTTAACTCGAATCGGATCTCTATCTACAGTCTTCTATATTGTGTCCCGCTCTCCCTACTTTATATCTAACACATTTCCACTGGGTGAAAGAAACTCTTGCAGGGATCATGCCTTATGTGATTCCCAATAGTATCATATGAAGGTATTTCAATTCTAGTACACTAGGAATTACAATTGTAACAAAACACTAAGAGATGTGTTGAAATCAATGTCCCTTCACAAAGCTGTTTATTGGAACTTCATAACTTGTTTCTCATCACTCTCCATTGGAGGACTACCACCATCTTGGCAAATCATCCAACCATTATGTTGGTTCTCAATTTTATGAGAATCTATATGATTTTATCATTTGCACAAGTTTGAAAGCTAGGAGACCATAATTGAATGAGAAGAAAAAATGCAGCTATCTTCTACAAAAAACATTTGGTCCCTCTGCTTTTTGATAATTTTTCCCTCGAAGTTTTAGTGAAGTTAGTTTTTGGTCCTTTTAGTTTGAGGATCAAATGTTTTAGTTCAAGATTTTATTTTCTTTCCATTTTGGTTCCTTGTTTAAGAGATGAGAGATAAAGTCAATAAAAAAACAATGGAGAAGAGAGAAAGCTACAAGTTATGAAAAAAGTTATTTTTGGTGTGAGTTTCATTAAGATGGTCTGTAGCCATGATCCTGTCATAAAGTGTGGAGGAATTGAGACTTGTTTGACAGCCCCTCCATCCTTCCCACCCAGCAGTGCACGAAAATTTGTTCCACCAAGGTCCAATGCGTAGAACAACCCTTTCTCATCTCTGGAAAATCAAGCACATAAGTGGCTACCTATAGTTGATATAAAATAAAATATGAAGACAAATGAAATTGCGTTTTCTCAGGAAAAAAGATTTTACACCAAAGCAACACCTTTTGTGTTGCCTAAAGAACATCAATGCTATTCAGCAGCTAAAAGGAGTTCACCAACCAATCACTCGTATGGCTCAACAATTAAAAGGAAGAGCACATCCCATAAATTTCTATACATTCATCCAAGTTGATCATTACCATGTTAACCAGCATAGACTTTTAATTAAAGTGATACATTATCCAAAGACACGATAAATCTCAAATAAATCCATCTTACGTTTATTTTTTTTATAAAACATACATGCGCATCATAAGATATTTATGTAGACCACAGGGTTAGTCTTTATGAACACTACAGAACCACCAACTAATTAATAACTAATCCTTTAAGAGGTGGGGAAAAAATGTGGAGAAAGTTTTGTAGTTTTCTTTACGCCTTTACTTGTATATTATAATTATAATTATATAATTTATATATTATAATTATACTTAGAATAATATAATAATAATAATAATATATATTAAAATAATATGAGAAGTCTTTTTTTCTTTTTTTTCTTCTATTTTTTTTTTATTTTTGTGCCATTATAGGTTTTTTTTCCACTTTTTTCCCATGCTTGTACTTATATATTAAAAAGCTTAGATTGGATTTGAGCCTTCATTTGTGAATCTTAGTGTCTTTTGGTTTTATTATTGTGTTTTGTTGTTACTTATATTTGTTTCAGTGTGCTTCAGGTTTGTCAATGTTCATTATTTCAGGTGATATCTTCTATACTCTATCTTTCTACCTTTAAACATTGAGGACAATGTCTCATTTTAATTGGGGGGAGAGGGCAGTAGCTAAAAAAAAAAAACTGTGTTTTCTATTTCATAAAGCATGTGCAAAATTGTTGTTACTATGATGACAGAGTAAGGA